GTGGGACACAGGGAGGGGAACATCACACACTGGGGGGCCTGTCGGGGAGTAGGGTGCAAGGGGAGAGAGAGCATTAGGACAAATGCCTAATGCATGCAAGGCTTAAAACCTAGGTAATGGGATGATAGGTGCAGCAAACCACCATGGCACATGTATACCTAGGTAACAAACCTGCACATTCTGCACATGTATCTCAGAACTTAAAGTAAAATTTAAAAAAATAAAATAAAATCTTTGGTTTTTACAGCTTTTGGGATTTTAGGATTGCAGATAAAGGATTATGGAGCAACAACAAAAATGATGACACATGATAATGGCAGTGGAAATTGTTTATATAATGGCCATACACATCACAGTATTCTAAGCACCCACATATTACTAATGCATTTAAACCTCTCAACCTTATAAAGTAGGTATTATCATCAATCTCGTTTACAGCGGAGAAACTGAAGCAAATCACTTCCACTAAGGCAATCTGGTCTCAGGACGCGTGCTCTCTGTTACTCAGAGTACAAGGCACACTTTTCTGAGGCCCTCCAGCGCACGCACAAAGACACCACCTCTCCTACCGGATCACTAGCCTACCACTCAGACACTGGCCAAGGTAACAACTAATGTGAAAGATCATGACCTAGAGTCATCAAGGCTAAGACATATTTTATATACTCTGTTTATGAAAGCAAAAAAAGGTATATGTTTTATAGTGAATTCTATTCAAAATTGATTATGGAAAAAAAGAAATTAGTACTTTAAGGAAAGCAAACTCTTAGCTCTCCACAAAATTACATTATAAAAACAGCTAAAATACCCAATAGGGTTCTGCATGGCTAGGGCTTTATTATAAAATTCAAAAATTCAAATAGTAACTTTTAAATGATAATGCAAAGTCTTAGACAAAATATGATACGTAGATTTTGCAACAAAAATAATTTATATAAAAGGTAGAGGTTCAGAAAATGCTGCTGGGTTAACTATTTTTAACAATTTGCCATACAAAATATTGCTTAAGA